TTTATAATACTGAACTAACACTATTTTCAAGTATTATGGACACTCGTGTCCAACACCCATTCCATATCCAGTCATGTTTAATCCAGAAGTAATATGTTCTCACACGCTGTCATACTTTCAACACCTGTCTTTAAGATTTAAAACACTTGTAAGAAACAACGTAGACAAAAAAAGAGTCCTGTTTGATTACATTATTGTTTATTATAACTCTTTGAAAGAATACATCTTTGATCTTTGTTGTATTAAGATTCGGTATACATAAAGATGATGTCGGAACCTTTATGGCCAAAAAGATCATAAAAATATATGAATTACAAATGTATAGTCTATTGTCATTTCTGCTCAGTATTATACTTCGTGTTCATTATAATAAATCTTCCAATACAATTATCTTCATAAAGTCAAATAGATAGATATAAAATCTTGGTCGTATTATTAATAAATTATTGTTAATAGTTTTGAAGTTGGTTACGGCTTAATTGTTTACATGTCTAATCTTCACAAAAGCCTTAACGTATAATAATTAATAAATCAAAAGCTCAGTATTCATTTTAACATTCCAGAAAAATGTAATCAATAATCTTTCATGAAATACAACAAAACGAGATCTAATCGAATGCAATTGGATGTAAAGTTTCGTCATTATGATAGACAATATGCTGTTTTTTATTTGTTGAGTAAAGGATGATATTACCTTACCCGCACACTGTCGTATCTGCGTTTGTTCTCTTTATATTGCAATTGCTGAGCAATCCTATGCAGGACACACTTTATCGACACCGTTAAATGAAAATTATCACAATTTATCTTTGAAATATTTAAAAGTTGATTATGTATGATACATATATGTCTTAGTTCAAATATTTCGTTATTTTTACAATAAATATGGAATCTTTATAGGTATTTAAAACTGATGACTCGAACTTAGTAATAATGATATGTCCTTTTATGAATTGCTAAATACACAAAACGTGTTCGGGTCGTTTTTTCAACACCCTGCTTGTGTCTGCTTTTTAGTGACAGTTGGTCATCTTAAAGATGTTCCGCGTCATGACAAAAAGTATCATTTTTAGACAGATGGGCTGACACAATATTTCAAAACAATATCATAGGATCGAACATAAGTTTGAATGATACCTACCACACCAAGTGCAATATTTATTACTGGGGTCCAATCTATCTATTGTAAAACTTAGAGCGATATATTTTGACATTAAGTAGCCATTCATGGATCTGGAGATCATATTAAGATGTGTCAAAATATGATAAACCTCGGACAATAACATTAGTTATTGGTTAGGACGGGTTGTATTAGATTCTGTAATGAGGACTCACACGCCTGAACGGATTAAGGGGAGTAAATTGGAACAAAAACACTTAATGTTTCTATATTTTCTCTAAGCCTTAAGCTATATCAGGATCCCTACCGGGATCCATGAAAGAATACGTTTGTGAAATGCGATACGTATTTTTGGTAATTTGAACCTGAATCAACGAACATCCCTAAATTATAATACTTAAGACGAGACTAAATAATGTTGCGTCTCCGCTGGCATCCTTAAAAGTCTGACATATTGTGGCTAGTTTTTATGACCAATATCTTTTATAATTTTGTAAAATTACACCTTTAATACCAAATCTCGATGCCGGAGGTTACGAATATATTTTCGTATTGTACTTTTCTTATATAGTGCTTAGGTCGTTTTTTTCCATATGGTATATCAATTCTTAATAACTTATATTTATACTACCCATTATCAAAATATAGAATGAATTCCTTTGTGATAAATCAGACATGTTTACACCAGAAGATTGTATTTTTTCTCCCAAATCTGATAATCTGTAAGAATAAAACGATGTGAACTAACAACCCGCAATATACACGTTTTCGCCATTATTCGAAGGACTTCGTACAGAACGGTTGCACGTCCACTGCTGAGATCTGTCATACACGGGCAGAAAAGACTCGAAAGACTTAGGACAGAAAGGTTGCTCGCCCAGTCCCAAGATCAGTGCAGTAGGCCCAGTATCATCGAAAAGATAATTAAATTAAATACTATGCTTATATTTTAAGATACAACATAACATAGACAAAGAAGAACGTCGAATTAAATGTTGTTCGTTCAGCGCTGCGAGGAGTCGTATAAACCCCGTAGAATCAAGGAATGAAATGGGGTTTAAAGTCGCACCCACACAATACTTTGGTCATTTTGAGACATATGCCCTACCTTCAGTTATTTTATCTCCCTAATGCCAGGAAGAACAATCTGGCTGCCTACACTTCTTAGATTTCCAACTGTCAAGGTGTTTTTTACATGTACGCAAATAGAATACAGCGGCTGGAGGTAGGTTTAGATCCTATGCGAAAGACTCGGCGTACTCTAACAAGTGAAGGTCGTACATTTATTCGAGGCCTACGCCGGGATTCTAACCTACATCGCCCTCAGATTTAATGAACAATAACTCTCAAACGTTTAATGAAATAATGTCTATCATTGAAAAAATGACACGAATGCGACACCCAAGTGCCCCGTTTTCGCTTGTTTTAATAAGGAGTGTCGGGGTTGTAACCCTCAGTAGATTTTTTCTCAGAAATAATAAAAAGAGGAAATGAACATTTTCAGGGTTGGTCAAACAGGAACTACCATATAAAATGACTAATCTCTAGATTTCCTTCAACTATGTTATCGCCATATCACATCACCAACCTTTTTTTTGTCACAGCTCTTATAACAAGTCAAGTGGAACGTTACATGTAAATATTATTTAGATTAAATATTTGAATAAATATGAACACCATTCTTTTATTATTAGAAGTTGCCAGTCTGATAAATCCACATTAAAGCCACGTGTTGTTTGTGGTCAGTGATTGTGGCGGCACCTGGGAAATGCGTGTTTTAACAACTTGACAACCTGTTTAATTACTTCTCAATCCAAATAAATAAATAAATTCTTTTTTACTTGATTCCAATAAAAAGCATTAACTCGCACGTACTGTTCAAATTCAATGATTGTGTGATTGAAGTGCATATTGCTTTTTCATGTCGGGTGTTGATCCGGAACCGCCCTCAAACACTGCAGCCTTTTGACCGACCTGCTCGTTAATTCATATAGAGAATTGAGTCGCAAAAAATTGAATTTGTACCAATGGTCAATTGAGTGTACTCGACCGCCCCTTACACTTGTATACAATACAATCAAAATAGGTTTTATGATTTTCTTTTAATAATTCAAATTAATGAGGTGTGCATATGAAGTGTTGGGCAGCTAAACTCCTTATATTGTATTTAAGATGACCCAAATCAATATCCATGTTCTCACAAAAGGCGGAAGCCTCGGCTAAACATGCTTTAGCAAAGAAGACTGTTGGCCCTGTGACTTTATAGATTTAGCTTTTAACACGAAACTTGGCAAAGGGGTGTCATAAGAAAAACTTCATTCAAAAATTCTTTAGTTTCATTCTCCTTTTGTGGGTTTTAAAAAGTCGCCTCAAATCCTATTTTAAGCATACTTAAGCTGAGAAAAGCTAGCCAACAATTTGCTATGATGTGTTTGCATGGTGTGGAAGGGATATGTATAAGACTTAAGATTATTCAAGATAGTCGATACGGTCGGCATCTTCAAAGAAAAAACTGAACACAGGTACATAGCCAGGTACATGGCCAGGTACATGGCGTTTGAACGAGTTTTGATGTCGTATGTGTTGACCACAACACGGTTAACATGATCATTTAGACAGTTCAACATCGACATAGACAAAGATACCTGCGCCTTTACACCTCGCCGATGAAAACATTTAAAATTCAGTTTCTTAAAACGACATTAAATGTAGTTAGTATTAAATATATCTCCTTATTTTTAGTATGAAAATACTAAATAACCAACATTTGTTTCTATGAAAATATTATGTATATTCAAATTTGAATCAATATTGTCAAACATATGAATTAAACCAATACTATAATATATATAATAAAACTCTATCAATATTTTCGCTAAAACAAATCCCCAAAACTTTAGATTCCGACATTATGCAACATAAAATAAGAAATCTGACACGTGACAAGCTATATATCATTTGAACTTAGATTCTTATAATAGACATTTGAACTTTTTTTCTCGAAAATTACAGATCACAAAAACTTGTAAAATTATAAGAAAACAACATTAAAATGACAATATATCATTGTTTAGGTGACATTTGTGATTTTTACTTGAATATTTATAATTATCAATATTTGACATACTGTCATTGAAGATAGGAGTTAATATATACCATAACCTTTAATGGCATGTTCAGTGTCATGTCATTAATTTTTATTATCAAGTTCAAATATAAAGTCATGTTCCGAATACACAAAACCAAAAGACCGTTAGATCGAGACTAACGTTTCACCTTGTTTTTAGGTTCAAACCCCCACGAGTTTCTGTATAAATTTAAATGATTTTTTATAGACTATTCATCAATGTAAAGGGTCAATCTTTGGTATATTTTAAACTTTAATTTTATATCTACAGATATATGATGAATCACTTGACATTCATAGGAAATCATCGCATCAGGACTAGTTTTGACATTCACGAGAGAGGATCCCACCAGGGGTAGCACTCAAGACGTTACTATTTCAACTACGTGATGTGTTTATGGTGTTTTAATTTAGCCAACTACGGAGAGGCTACAGGTGCATTCCATTTAATAAAATACATGTCATGCCTTTGAGCTGTCAATATCATGGTTTGACTACATTAAAAACTATAAGAGATCCCTTAGAAATACACTGTTATATCAACATTTATGACAATAATGTGACGTTGTCAAAGGAATCAAACATAACCCGGATATTTTAGTTAGGAGACGGGGGTGCCTCATTTCTGTCAGAAAATGTCATGGAACGGGGTATGATTTCCTAATATTCAAAAACAACCGAGTTAATTAATAAAGATGGATTCAGTCAGGAATGGCCATCTCTGTAAATTTAAATAGATATTCTCTAACTTACCTTTTAAGAAAAGTAATAGTCCAAAGTCTTCATAAAGATATGTAAACCGACTTTTGATGTCAATACGCAGGACACAATTCTGTAGAATGCAATTTGTTTATTACTGAACGACGTTTCGACTGGCCTCCTCTAGTTTTATTTTAAATGAAAATGTCAGAATAAGAATTTGATGTTTTCAAATGGATTTCGTGTGTTGTATCCGGACATTTTGTTTAAATGAACGATGTTTTTGGATTGTTCAACAAATGTTGTTTGAAAATTTCTAATAAAGACCTGTCAACTTTCATTTTGAAACAAAACCTCCCATTGTACTCTTCGCATTCTCTCAAAAACATCGCAACGGGTCAAAGGTCAACACGCATTGTGCAAGCTCGTGCCAAAAAGATCGTCATCAGCTGTAAATGTGTGCAATAAAAAAGGCAACCATCTTTGTTCTGGGGACACGTAAGAATGTTTTCCGTGTGTGGAATGTGTTGATTTTTCGTAGAGAGCGAGCCGTGACACCATCCTGTTGTCCTTCTCTCTTTTTTCTTTATAAACTTTCGTAATGTTTTGAAGGCAGCGGGCTCTAAATATACCGCGCTTGTAGCTTATTGACTTGATCAGCGCTGCTCAGCTCCATGTTGGTACAGAAAAACGTAGACTATTCAAATAAGTTTGTAATCAGAAGCGTAGAGAAGTTTTGGTAAAAGGCGGGTCGTTATCATTATTTACCAGTAGATTTCCATAAATAATATTTACATGCGTCTATGTTTGCTCCCACTAAGCGGTAATGTATAGTGAATCCAAGACCATGTACACGTGCCTTTCAGAAAATCTGATGCGAGACTGCAATCTGAGTCATGCCGAGGTAGTAAATGCGTAAACAAACATACATGTACTGGGGTTGTTTGTTTTTTTGTTTACTCAGAATTATGTTATTTACGTAATCTGGGTCGTTTCAATGATGTTGGTCAATCGACCGATTTCGATTTTATTTTCCGTGTTCAACAATATCTTGAATCTCGCAAATCCCTTTTTAAGTTTTATCTGGCGTTTTGTGTAGGTCAGATTCAAGAGTCATTCTAGATGAGATTTTAAAGACTCCCATCTACAGGTTATAGACCTTCACAGTTGTCTATATCAGTATTGCTGTTCGAAAAAGAGAACGTAATTTGCTTATCATTTATTTTGTAAGATATTAGCCGTCATCCAATAATTAGGACTTTCAAAACAATGCCGCAATATTGCTTCTAAATACTTTCATAAACTTAAATTATGATAAAATCTAAATAAAGTCAAATTTGGAACACGCATGTCCAATCCTTTAGTTAATTTTCTACTATAAATCCGTTTGAATGAATGTAAATAACCCAATGATATATGATGCAAACGAAACCAATCACAAGACATAGTTTTTTTATATATTGTGAAGGTTTCTTGTGAAATCCATTTTAAGCAACCTTGAGATAAATAGCGGTAACGGTTTTAGTATAGTTTAAACAAAATTTTATTCAATAAACTGAATCGAATTGAACAACAGGCAAAGGACTATATATATATATATATATATATATATATATGTTATCTCCAAAGTATTGCTTATTGCTCAGTTTTTAGTGCAAATCGAAATCTTCCGAATTATAAAGTAGATAGTTTAGACAGTACTTTTTTTACGAACGAATAAAAAAAATTTAAGTATATTCATTGGAATATATGTCTTATCCTTGGAATTTGGTATGATATATTATGAAATGAAATGAGGTTTTACGTCCTATTTTTCAACTCCATTCGGACTAGTCAAGACGGGCATATGCCATGCAGTGTGCTATGTGATACCATTATTTCGAATTCCAAAAGTGAAGGGTTCTTTTACGTGCACGTCAACGTGTACGCGGAACGTCGAATTTTCGTCCCATCCGAACAACTAGATATTCTGCCTTTCCTGGTCACCCATCCTGCACCACTGACAAGGGGATACACCGCTACAAAATTACGAGGAACTTTGTAGGTTAACATTGGCATCGCACCCGGGAACTCCAGGTTAGCGAGCCATCGCCTCATATTTAAATATTGATTTAAACATTAAACATGGCGTCCGTTTTCAAAAGTAAACAGGATAGATTAGAACATAAATCCTGATTTCAATCGCCATATTCTTCCAATGATAACGAAATTTACTATACAAATTCACCTTTATAAAGTATCCTTTAAAAATAATGTACCTGTCATATAAATCTTTCAAGGTATAAAAGATATATCGTTCACGGCGAAAAGCAACCCAAAACAAAATGATCAATGGTTAAATTATGAAGCCACTTTTATTTAGCTGATAGAAGATATATGAGGAGCAAGCTGGATTGGTTTCTATCAACAACATCTTCCTGACCAATTTCTACCAAATTAAAACATTAAACAACGCCGAATTCAGCTGACCTTTCTTATCGTATCATCTCCCAGGTGGACGTTCTTTAATAGAAATCTACATGACAAGGTTCGGAAGACCTCAACCTGGTTTTCAATAAGACCAATTTAAGAAAAAAATTACACCGGTTTAAAAAGATTGAACTGATAAACTATCTTTAAAGTCCTTTGAATTGAGTTATGCCCAAAGTTTAACATGATTGAAACCCGCCACTGTCAACTGGACTGATTTGTATAAGATAATTACAATAAGGATTAAAGTAGATAAAATAAGTTTATCTCTTTTTTTATTTTGATGGAACCCGATTTTTTGGCGATTTGAAAGTTAAAAAAATATTAATGAAATCTATTATTCTGAGCGATTTAAATTAAATTGGTTATGTGATATTTATTCTTATAAAGATAATATTCTGACTGTGTGGATTTAGATAGATATTAGAAAATTCACAGTTCAACGGGTTGGACTGCATATTAATCTACAGAAAGCACCAAATTATAAGCAGATTTTTCTATTTAGTGTGAATTCCGATTAAACAACAATCAAAAATGCTTTAAAAGATGATTTTTTAACGGTACTTTTAACATTATCTCCACAATGCCCCCACGATTCATTACTCCAAAAATTATAACACTTCACATGTTTTCTTGAGGATAATTTCCACTGCATTAAATCTGTGAAGATAGAATGTGAAATTTGACGCTAATATCTAGGATTAGCCAAATATTGTGAATAGAAACGATATTTAGTAAGTTGATTTTAATGATATCTAAGTATTGAAAATACCCTTATGAAATATTGTTAAAAATTTCCAAGTCATTTTTTCTAGTTTAACATTTTGCATTTTAGCAATCGAGTTACAATTATACAAAAATTACATTAATTTTTTGCGTTCGCTCCGCTAATTTAAATAAAATATTTAATGTGGTTTTGTAATCTTGGTTTAAACAAAAAATTCTCTGGCAAACTCGCTAGGTTGAATATTTCTTTAGATACCCTATATTATCCTGCAATATGTTCTTTTAATTTACAGATATTGAAGAACTAAAAGACCGATATAAGGTTAATGTCCGCTTCTATAATGCAACCACATGACAGAAGTCTTGATGGAGAAAAACTTTCTATGGGTACCAACTAGGATCCAACGACATATAATCTTCTATGTATGTCCAGTCTAACCTAGTGGGTTTTCTCCAGATCGCCAGGTTTCTCCCACTGCCAACCACCCCTAGGCGCAAGCGAATTATTGAAATAAAAGTGTATTATTATGATATCTCTATATATATGACATTGGTATTTTACCACGTCTAGACACCTCTTTTACAAGCCTAACAGATGTTTTATTACTTCTAAAAAGATCGAATCCAAAATTTCGTCCTGGTCATATACCCTAAGGTTGTCTAAACCAATGATGAAATATGACAACCCTCATTAGAACCACAGTAATTCAGATTGTATTCAAAATCCAAATAAAGAGATAAACACACGTCACGCTGTCCAGATAGACCGGACACTGGTCAGTAATAAGCGACCTATCGTCCCATCTATTGATAAGTAAAGAGCACAGTAGTTATTTATCACATGGGGTTAAATGTTTATAACTGATAACAAACTATTGTAATTAAAGTAAATGTATTATAATGCCTATTATTTAAACATCGGACAATAATACACATAGAGGATAGGAAGTTATTATGAGAAATGCCCTCGATGATTTTCTTAATATCGTCGTTCTAGGGGGCAAGAGACATGCTTTGGGGGATTCCGTTACATGCCTTTTAAATGGAAGTAACTATAGTCTAAGAATTTGCGCATCCCTTTCTGCTAACATGAATGGATGCTACTTTTATGCACCAAACTGGCTAAGGAAGAGAGATGGTTGGTGAGCTTGCCAGTGTGTCATTGAGTTGACGCCGATAGATGATTTATCTTAATATCAATATGACCATGTATGACACATTTCAAATCTAAAGGTTTATTGGTCATGCGACATCAAATGAACTAGCAAGCACACCCATACAGGCCAATCTATCACTACTTATGGCCAAACGATTTCAGAAGCCTAGTAGATATTCCTTGCCCAAAAAGTCTTTTCTAATTTTCAGTATTATCATATTTACCAATTATCATTTGGTCTGAAAGATTTTACCCTTTCTTTGCCAATTTGATACGAGTGCAGAGAGGAGGTACTTATATTAACTATCTAACACACAAAGACGATTTTTTAACAACTTTGATTAATGCATCTTTTCAGTTGTTGCACTATTGGAATTTTAAATGAGGTTGTACTGTAGATTTGTTTTCGCTTTTTCGCTTCCGACGTGTAATACAAATAAAATGAAATATCAAAAACTTACTGCTGTGATAAGAAAAGATAGGTTGTCAGGCAATGAAATATAGCCTCTAGAGCGTCCACAAGATATTTCATAGTGATTAAGGGCCATAACTCTGGCTGTAATTATCGGATATCGTTAAAAATCAATGTCGTTTCATGACATTAAATACTGTGTATAAATCTAAGGTCAATCGGATATTAACTTTAGCCTCTAGAGCGTCCACAAGATATTTCAAAGTGCAGTAATTATCGGATATCGTTGAAAATCAATAGGCTTCTTCGTTTCATAAACACTGTGTATCAATTTAAAGTCAATCGGATATTAACTTTAGCCTTTAGAGCGCCCACAAGGATTTTTCAAGGAAATCAAGGACCATAACTCTGGCAGTAATTATCGGATCTTGTTGAAAATCAATAGGATTCTTCGTCTAGTGACCTTAAACACTGTATATAAATTTAAAGTCAATCGGATATTAGGATATTAACTTTAGTC